AAAAAAAAAAACGAGGCTCTCAAATCGAAGTATAGCTGCTAAATTATGGAAAAGGAAAGTCAGGTAAATTTGTAACAGTTAAGCGCAGACAAAAAACTATATTTGAGATCAAAATCACCTGAATTTCTGTAGTTGGGCGGTGGTGGTAGTGGAAGTATTAAGAATTTGTCCAGCTATTAATCTAGACATCGAGAATTGCAAAGTAGATCATTTCAATGCGGTTTTGACAAGTTGATCTTACAAGTCTTTTATGATTTGCTTACCCTGTCATCTCATCTTCAGATTTGTTGTATCTTATAAAAGAAAGAAGTTTTGTTTTTTTATTTTCAAACAGTTGTGGTTTTATAATATCGGTTTGAAACATTATCGTATTTTTGGTAATATCACTCTTGGGTCTGATTCAGAGTAAAAGAAAAAAAAACTGATACGGATAAAATAAGAAAAATACGTTATTTATTGACTGTTGTCGCGGATGCGACAACTGACTATTAAAAAACTGTAATTGAGGCGTTTAGCGCCATATTATTAGAAAGAAATGAAGTGATAGCTTTTTGCTACAGGCACTTTGAGTACAGGGGGTATGTACTTTGTTTTTTAAGCTGTAAACATTATATAAGAGGTTAAATTGAAGAAGACTTCAGTTATCACGTTTGGTTCTGTTAATATTGGATATTGTACTTCCTTAAGGACTTTCAGTGAAACCCATTCTTGATCTTATTTGTCAGTCATTTTCTTTTTGTTAAGTCACGTTCGTTCATTATTTATTTTTGGATTTCGTCTCATCTTTAGTTATTTCCGTATAAATCCTTTCTTGAGTTCTTTGTCCTCTTTAGTCTAAACAACTGTTGTAGCAACAGAGAAGTCTAACACCAAATAACGCCATCTGTCAACGAACTTCTTGTTAACCATTGGCAACAAATTATTATTATTATTTTTACAAAAAATATCAATTATCATTTTTTCTTTTATAAAAAATAGTTTTTTTTTTTTACAATTTTAAGAAATTAAGATTTAGCTTTGACTTTAAATAACGCTTAGCAGACATCAAAAAATATGACTTCCCAAAAAATTGATAAAATAAAAAGGAAATATTTTTGAGTGTAGCAAATCTGAAGCAACAAAATACAGTTCAAATATTTTTCTAATTCTTAACGTACCACAATAAATGTGCTTTCGAATATTTTCATTTTTAGTGTTTTTTTTTCTTTTGATATTAACAGATAGAATAAAGGGAAAACTGATAAACACGGGGTTTAATGGTTGTTTTTACTTTTTAAAAGAATTTATTCATTAGCAAAAAAACATTGGTATTTTACAGCTTTAACATTACTACAATTGGAAGAAAGTGATGTTTATTTTCTAAAATGAGAAAAAACGGCTGAAAAGCAGTTTTTGTTGCAACGTTGTTTAACACCGACAGTCTACTATTTTTCATGTTTTTTGCTTACCCAACTAATGATTAAGACCTAAATTATTCTACAAATCCAGACACTTATCAAACGTTTTACTGTTTTTTCTCGTCGTTGAAAACTAAGACTTGACTGCTTTTTTCTTGGCTATTTATTCAAAATCTGCTTTAGCAGATTTTTCTGTTTTCTAATCTGCTTGCTCTGTGGAATAAGAAGACAGAAAAAAAGACATTAGTTTGATAGTGTTGTCTAAAATAGTAAACGAAAGAATTTAATTGTCAGCTTGTACATTTAGTGTGGAAATAAAGGCACTCTTGTCGATTGACGGCCCCAGCCGCTGATTGGATAACTGGTTTTTGGAGGGGAAGTTGAGGAATGGGACAGTGAAGGGGGCAGCGTCAAAGGGGAAGGAGACAGCAGCAGAGGGAAGGGGATAGCGGCAGTGAGAAGGGGACGACAGCGGCGGCGCAGCAGGGCTGAGCGAAGCGAAGCCTTACCGCGTCGATGCAGCGTCTCTACTCGCTTATTTACACGTTTATTTACATCTTAAAACGCTCGCTTAGGTGTGGTAGTGTGGTGCAGTGGTAGCGCTCCCACTTTCCATGCTGGAAGCTCAGGTTTTGGATCTGCCAACCTTGCGATGCTGCATTGCTTCCAGTT